TAGCAGGTGCCCCTTTTGGAGTGCAAATTGCTGTCTGGTGAAACAGTCTCTACAACCTACATTCCAAATCCATCTTCATGCAATGTCACTCGCTTTCCAAATAAAGGCGTCACCTGACAGACAAGATACGGCTGTAACCACGTTCCACCTAGATGGTGAAGGGACCCTGAGGAGATTGCAGGCCACATGGACAACTTTGCACACAGATGGTGCACAAATGGCTCAAAAAGAAACGGCGATTCAGCCCACACTACATGGAATTTCAAGAGAATCCCATTCCACCAAGTCTAGTGCCCAATTGGTGATAAATCAAGTGTTTCTTCGTGAATGGAAAGAATAACAACAATGTCCGGTATGTGAAATGCAACCACCTTATTAATAGCTACGTATACAAAATGAGGGGGCAACTTGACTTTAGAACACAAGTTAAGTATCAGTTAATTTGGCCGGTTAGTTACATCTGATTGCCTTGCATTAAGCATTACAACTTATGCTTAGAAGCTAACAAAAATATGCCAACAACTCTTGATATATCAGGCACTTTGTCGTCAAAATTATATTTTTCATTTTGCTCATAATGTGGACAAATCTAAAGGATAACTGGTGGCTGTTTATATATACAGGCAATGCAGCAGTGAGCAAACTCTTCCCTATCATGTAAGCAGACTCCAAAATGAACAAATTTAGGTATTTTTGCCCATATTGACAAGTTATTTGAGTAAAAGTGGGGAATCCGAATGCTCTCATGCTTGCATTGCGTTAAATGACAGGTTTTAAAGGAAGCCATCAAAATTGGAAATGCGCTATTCAAATGCGCCACATTTGAAAGTGTGTAACCTAGCTTTGGGTAAGGGAGCTTTTTAATGCATTAGCTGCGATCCGAGTTATTTCTGGAAGTAAAGGGGATTATTTTTGCATTGCATTGCATTGATTTTCCTCTCTGTTCGAATGAAAAAAGGGTAAATATTATTTATGGAGTATTACACAATTTGTGAAGTGATCTCGGGAAAAGCAGTATTTGATTTTAAACAATTATTGCCCTCCTCGTTGATCGCAATCAGCGCATTTCCCTTTGGATGAAAAGGTATTTTAATTCTACTTGTGAATTTCTAAAAGTGAAACGTGACATTATATTCCGCGAAAACCCCGAATAGGGAGAAGGGAAACCGTAAAAAGCGGATATTTTCCTTTAGGGGTAGGTATTTTACAAATCATTTCTGGCTGTCCTGCGTAAACAACGAACAGTCTACTGAGGTGAGACATCTACGCCTTGCATTGACAAATGCCTTGCTTGAGGAGTTTCGGCAAAGTTGATGTGCTATTAATACTTGGTTCACCAGAGCACTTTAAAATCCATGATTTTGAGGCAAAGCAGCAGTTTTTGTCCAGCTTTGAGGCTCCGTCAATAGAACTCACATTCACCTTGACTGGAGATGACTTGCTTCTGACTTGGCCATTGATTTGCATTAACTGGGCAACTATTTACAGTTTGAGCTAGTAAGTCGTCAGCTTGGTACTGAGGTAGAAAGAAATTGTTTTGAAATAGCGCCATGGGATGGTGGTGGTGCTCATCGTGAGGGGTTTCAACTTCTCCCTCGTTTATTCCAGTCTGGGATTTGATGGGAGTGTTTGCTAAGCCACTCCTTTGTCAGCACTATACAAATATTCATTTTCTTATTGAAATGTAATTATGCTTTGAACGTTCGTGATCATTTCCTCCTTTTCTCTTCACCTTTTGAAATTTAAGACCGCCTACACTTGTTAAATAGGCGAAGTGCTTCTTCCTAAGTTGATCAGAAGTTATCTTTTTGAACTTGTTAATGAAATAAAACGCCTATTTTACTGAAGAAAGGCAATTATATGCCGGTTTTGCAATATATTGAACGCTTGCAGTATCGGCGTCACGTATATGTGACGCACATTCCAATTAATTTGTGGTTAGTGATGGCAGGAAGTCTTTTGCAGACAGATTAGTTAAGCTTGAAGCGACAAAAGGGACAATTAAGTGCTTTAGCCCCCTAGCAGCATCAACTGTCTGTCTGTATTCGCATTTCCTCTGGGAACACACCAATGATGAATGCTTTAATCTTTCCGCTTTTGGACTCGACCAAGGTCGAGTAAATATTGTAAAATGGAGAATAGGCATTTGACTAACTGTGGCTGTATAAGGCGTCTACAGCTTACTTCAACCCCCATTTGGAGTAATCAAAGTCAACTTACCCTCAGTTTTAAGGGGCTGCGTAAGTCATCTTACAATTGATCGCTCCCATTACCAGGATGGCTTGGGGTTAAGCTAGAGATTTTTAAGTGGGTTCTGACTTATTCTGCCTCACCCTGCAATTATTATTGACAAAATTTGCTAAAAATTCTGTAGGTTAAGAAAATTAGTTCGTCAATTTTTAGCATTCCTATTTTAGGTGAAATTCTTCTTTATTAATAGTGGTGCTCGGTTTCAGTGGAAGGATTATGTTTCAAGCATTCACTACTCACATTTACATTTTCTATGTAGAAGTGCATCTAGGGTAGATGCGGCCAAAATAAGGCCCCGAAGAAATGTTTACACTTTGACCCTGTCTGAAATCCTCCGGGGAGGAGGAAGTGGCATTCCTTTCCTAAGGAAACACCAGAGGTCGTAAGTGCCGTGAGCAATACCGACTACATGCCACCGAACATCGGTTGGTTCGAACTCGTCTGCTGCTTTACGAAAGGGAAAATTTCTTTTCTGCCTTAATGCGACATGTTAATCGTGAACAAATTCCCTAACAGAACTAGTTCGAAAAAGTAATCTTGATGATAAATTGGCTGAAGAGATATTTTAAGTTTAGTAAAAGCCCCCATTCTTTGTCGCATCTAGAAAATTAAGTAAGGGAATTGCTGCTGGTGGAATGGGGCCTTTAGACGTGTATAATGTGGGTGGTACCGAAATCAGCGGTTGACGCAGATGTCAGTAGAGACGAGAGAATAGTCGCGAAGGCCAAGTTGAACAATTCACTCCCACCCACATGTGCCTACCTGCGCCATTGCGAAGGGGTTATTCGTTCACCCACCGACTGTTTCCCCGTCTCTCTGTACTGGTGTTTGATGTGTAATGAGGTGTGCATTTTGTGTTCTAGCATAATTTTGGTGAGCAAATATACCATTAGCTGTCTCTGGATGATTACTTCATCCAGGGGTAAATGCTGCCCTGTTATGGAGCTCTTGTGTACATAGTGAAGCGTAGGCACGCACCACACCTCCTTAACCCCCGACCTCCATCACAACTCATCATAAAGGAAGCTTTTATGTAATTACATAAGCACTTACTTACAAACCTAACTGGCTAATTCTGGCTTACTTACATATCGAAAGAAGAAAAGGACTTTGTTGTAAGAGGAGGGTTTGCTTGTGGAGTTATGTCAAATCTCCACGATCCACTCCAGTTGGGAATACTCCCTTTCCCTAAAGCAAAAGAGAAAAGGAAAAGTGAAATTTCAAGCCAATTTAAAAACGGGAAAGGAGAAGATGTTTCAAGAGGTGCTACATCTAATTCCTGTCAGAGATTGACTTTAGATTAATCTAGCACTTGCTCGTTAGGTGGAAAGCTTTAGAGTAGAGGGATTCACAAGTCATGCTACACTGCTCCAGTGGATGAATTTGTCTTTTGGCAATTGCGATGCAGTCATTAATCAAGTGTTTCCGTTCCACTAAAAGGGCCAGTGGCTGCCGAGTTTGTAGGATGAGTGTGGAGATGTGTGGTTAAGCGTACCCGTTCCTATGGTGTCATGCACGGAATTTGAAGTCTTCTGTCCCCGCATTTGATATTTATGTCTGTGTTCTTCTTGATAATGCGATCCATTCATTGTTGTTGTTGTTCCCTGTTATCTGGATTTTACGTGTGTTGACTGACCATCACCCCAATGTTCGGAAGATTTGTCGACATAATTTATTTGTTGTAAGAATATTGTATATTCAAAGCCCGAGGCTGCGCATCCGACCCAGATACTTTATTGGGCAGCATCGCTGGGTCTTCTTGGAAGATGTAATAGCAAAAACCATTGCGAAATGAATAAAAGAAGAGTGGGAAGGTTTCAGATGTGGTCATAGGGGTATGTCGTGCAAGATCTTCGGTCCTTCCTCTGCTTTGGTAGTAACGAACATGTTTGGACTCCAAATATCGATGGAGGTGGTGTTCGTGGAGAAGCATATTGGTGAAACGGGTAAATCTAGGGGGTATTTGAAATAAAGGAAATTCCAGTTCATAATATTCGGAATTACCTGACCCTTTTCAAATACACGAGATATTTATGAGGTCAAAACAAATGGAAATTTGAGCATTTTATGTTGAAGACCCCACTTAGTCAAGTTCGTTCACTTTGAACTTGTCGCGTTGTCAGTGGTGGCACCGACCACCGACTGTTTACATCAGTCTAGCGATAGACCATTCCCTACTCCCAGTCCACCTTTCAAAACTTATTTAAGCTAAATTCGTTTGAAGCAACCTGAAACACTCCATTAAGCCTTATCTGGTGTCCTCCAAAACGAGTTCAATTCGGTTTCTCTTTGTGGTGTGGATGACGAATTAGTGAATGATGGATGCATTACATTCAGAAAATCCTTTTGGTCTTGGCATTCTTGAGGAATGGCGTGTAGATATGGACTCACTGAGGGAACTCGGGATGAATGTGTAAAGAACAGTCTGCAGCCATTAAATGCAGGTGAGTCTGAAACACATTGATAACAAATGGGAAGGTGGAGGGACAGGGAAGTAGAACTAGGGAAATAGATCCCACTCACATGACGTACATCAAAATCACAACAATGGGACTCAGCAGATTGCTTATCAGTAGGGCGAACGAGCATATCATTTGTTGTGTTCAATAGGTCAATTCACCACTCACCACCCACCACCCACCACATTTCATTCCACTTCAGCACACCTGATCCAGCCTGATTCAAGCGGACTAACCCCATCTCAACCTGCCCCATACAATCCCATCTCACACTGCACCACTCTTCCACAATTAGCATCACTTCATTCTCATGAGACAACGTTGTTTCTCATACACAATTTTCCTCTTTTAGGTGAGTCTTGGTGATTAAATTGTTTTTACACTGACGCATTCCACTATTCTGCATTTTTCGAAATTGGGGTAACAACTCCATAATGTTCTCTATCTCTAGATACCATTAGGGCAGTACTTCAGTTCTCGGACACTACCTGTCAAATTATTTCCTCACTTCAACCCACCAAGTCAAACTGCCCATTAGCACTATTCCACACTGAATAGCTGTGACAGAATAAATGGTTATTCATTTGACCTGTTTCAGGGTGCGAATTTGCCATTCGAATTGGAGGGAAGGGCGAAGGAGATCAGCCTACTGGTGAAGTCACAGAATTGCCAAATATCTACAGCAGCCCAGAAAACCCACCATTCCACAAATGTGCCTTTTTCTCCTCGGACGGCATAATAAACGGAGGATGGAGACGATTGGGGTAGCGTTTAGTATCCTCCACTAGCAGTCCACCAATTTGGGTGGTAAAAGTTGGAGTCTGGCCGTCTTATATTTCAATAATGTACAGGATCATTACATTCGAACCAAGTCAGTTTGTAAATCTCGGAAGATTTCTTCTGTTTTCTACTTGCTCGTCAATTACATTTATGTATGCATTCATAGCAGTCCTCAGCCAACACCTGACCCCGATAGCCGCTTTGAGGTGGAGTGTTTCAGCAGGAGAGATAAATCAACTTGAGCGTCAGCGAATGGATGGGTGTTTCACAAACTTGTTGAATGCTTACAGGAATGACAACAGAGGCCATGCTACTCCAAAATGCATACCCGTCTTTGTCATTCTGCTGCGTGGTTAAGGCTACTGTCGCTGCAACCCAATGTACAGTGATCGTATTCCTCTTTACACATTCGTATGACTCAAACAACTGTTGTATTAGATCATGATGTCAAAGGTTATCCATCTCATTCAACAAGGTATAAGAAGATTAATGAGGGTGCATTTCCCCTTGCTACCTACCACAGTAACAAGTTTCTTATGCTTTGCATTTATTGTAATTCGTCTTCTATTGCGGCAGTAATAATGGAACAGGCATAGTAATGGGTTTCAGATTTCCTTTTGGTTCATCATATAGAATGTTAGACTTTATGATTCCTTCCGGATTTGCGAGAGCCCCAATGGTTAAGCCCAGCGTCATGTGTAAAGTGGTGATCCATTCGACACCCGTGCTTATGCACAGTGAAAGTGAGGATGGATAACGCCTAAATGCTTGTCAGTAGCTTGATTTCATTGACAGCTGATAACTCGCGTAGAACTGAGGAAGAGCATGACAAATAGCTGTGCAATGTCAAATTAGCTTTGCCATATACGTGCATGAACACAAATCTGATCCCGTTGAGAATACATTTGGGTTGATCCATGAAAAGTAAGGGCTCCAACACGAAAGTCCTTATTGCCGAAAAGTGTGCGTAAGCTGGGGCGTTGAGGTAGGTGGATAGGCATCTGCTGCTTGACTGCTGGGGACACAGCGGTCCAATTCTCGCGAGTTTAAAAGTATTTTGATTGGCCTCGACTTCTCAATAGTTGATGGGGCATTTAAAGTCCATTTGTGAGTAATATTGTCCAATCAGGGGGAGTGAGTGGCAGCGAGGGCATTAAAAGGCTTTTCAGCGCACGGAGGTTAGATGTACTTTACAGTGAGAAGTGTGTGATGGGAATCGATGGGATGAGAGGGGATGGGATGGTGCGGGGTGTAGTGGCTTGGGTTGGATGTACTGAAGTGGATTAGGTTGTGGTAGGTGGTGAGTGATGAGCTGACTACTCGGAGATAACCACTGATGTGTTTATTCGACTCACTAACAGCACTACACGTAAGATAGTCGGTCAGTCAGTTGATAAGTTAACATACCACTTTAATGTTGTGTTTTCGATGGACGACATGTGGGCAGCATCCATTTCCCCATCTTTCCCTCCACGTCTCTCCTACTTCTCAGTTGTTATCGGTGTAAGTGTAGCGTTGCAGCATCACACGCATTCAATGACTGAGGACCGTTCTTCACGCGTTAATGTTGCGTACCTTCAAGGCGTCCAAATGGACAAGAAACCATTCGCCACTACCAAGACTGGAGGAACATTTGTAGCTTGCAAGTCGCATTTGGATGCCTGAGGTTCCGAACATGAAATTAGTAGATGAAGTACTGGGCGGCTGCAAGCCCTGCTTGAAAATTACGCCCCACAGAGCAAAATTATAACCTTCCGTGTGTGAATTGCCGACGAGTTATGTCAAGATAGTGCATTCAAACCTACGCTGAAAACCGCAAGCTATTTTTGCTTGTCATAGGACATTCATTTAAATGACACAGGAGAAGAGCAGAGAGATGTCTTTACAGCAAATGTTGCCTCATGATAATCGGATGTTTTCAGGTTGCTTTTATACTTCATCAGTAGTATAAGAAATTCTGGATAAAGGAATAAGTCTGTCTAACAAATACGAGACCCACCCGGAGGAAAAGACACCACTAATACTTTTCTATTAATTTAAACTTGGGAATGCTCTGCGCAAAGTGTGGTGTAGTGTGACGACCATTTGGACGCAGTCAAGACGAAGGGTGATGTGGATAGCTCAGCAATCCTTTCGCTACGCTAGAAACTGGCTCTCAAGTTCAATGCTAGTGGGAAAAATGCCATGAGTGTGCGATTCCAGGTCTTCTATAAGTTTGTATAAGGCGAATGTGATGTCTTCTCTTCATCTAACCTGCTAAAATTACTCTTCTCTGATTTAAAAGTTCTTTTATAATTTCTGACCTCTGCTTAATCCTACTTGAGAGAATTCCCAAATGAATGTAACAGCAGAAAGCGGAAATGCTATGAAGGAAATGAGAAAGGTTTGGCCTCACACCTGGTAGCCAGTGAACCCCATTCTTTGCATTTTTGATGATCGGAGTTTTCAAGTGGATAATCCACATTCTAGATCTGTGTGCGTCTACCACTACGAACACTTTTGAATTCGAGGGAGTTTTACACAGTCCAGGCTACCCCTCTACCTTCCAAAGTGGCATGCAATGTGACTAGAAACTTGGTGTATGCTAGCTAACACAAGGAATCATGATTCATTTCACAGAATCATCCATGGAATGGCTTGTTTAAAGGCTAATATGCATCTCAAGAGACGTTTTTCCTTCATTGCAGTCCTTTAGTTGGGAGGGCTTTTGATGATTAGTTTTGTCACAAAATCATCGTCTTAGGGACCTGATTGATCACCACAGTCGTCAGGTGTCAAATGTCACTTATATGTGATGCCTCATTCAGGTGGTAAATCACGATCCATATTTGTTGACCTCCAAAGATCAAATGACCAACTGGAGTCCCAACTTAACTGTTCACACAATCATCTGCTTTAGAATGCAAAAATGCAGTGCTTCGAATAAAAGCAGGAGAGTCAGTTTAATCTGTGGCCTTAATTTGGGGTTTCGCCTACGCCATCCCCCTGGTTCTTTACTAACCACACTTCAGTCACAGTAAGGTACGACTTTACCTTCCACTACCGAGTTGTTAATGCATTTGTCTGCTACGGGATCAGAATGTTTAGATATTGCATTGGCATACTTTTGCAGAATTGTCACATCTGTCAAAATCTACCTTCACGTTATTATCCGCCTATTTATCACCCCTCGAATTATGTGGTGAAGGAAATCTTTTACAAGTGAGAGTCGTTAATTACTTGCATACCATATTCAATCAACTAGCATAAGAAAGCAAGACCCAAGTGAAGATGGACATTTGTCTAGTGAGTTGCCTAGCCAATGCGGATGTAAGAGCAACGTATGTCTATCTGTTGAGTCAAAGGAAATAGGAGGATGTAACCAGGTTATAGCCACCAAACTTTTGGTGAGAAAAGGGCAATGGTAATCAGCCTCAGCATCCTAAATTTTAACTAGTTTGCAGGAGAAGTGGAACCTGTAGCATCCAATTAGAGCGTTGTCTCCTTTGTTGATTGAAAAGGGCAAAAACAAACAAAACAGCTCTGGTGATACCTTTATGGGATTTACCTTTTACGTTGGCTCTCTGACCCAAGTTATTACATCCCTGTCCTATTAACATTTACCAGTCCAGCAGAACAAGTGCTGTGGTGTACGAAGTAGTTTAATTACCTGATATAGGGTAGCATGGTGGACCCCATGATCAGGCTGTACAAAAGACTCAGCAGTGTGGGACGTAGTGGCTGCCCAGTTTTGATGCATTGCGTTTTGAACGTCCCCAGTGCTTTTACTAACGCAATCTCTAGGGCAAAGTCAACCACCTCATCCACCATGTTGTTTTGTTGTTCAAGTACGACAGCACCTGCCGTCACTTCGTTTTGATCAACTCAATTACCGTTTATGAATTAATAATAAAATCATCCTCAGACTGGAAAAAAAATGCGTTAGCTAATCAGTTCCTAATTTTTGATAAAGTAAACCTACCTACCTTTTTTGATGCATACAGAAGTACTGGTGACAAACACCGACTAATTACCTTCAAGTACTTTGCCCCTTTTTACTCACTTCTGGTAAATTAATCTTTAGGCATGCTCACAACAGAGAACGCAGACGGTGCCAAAGACTTCCAACTTGTCTGTTCCAAATTACTACCTAT